AAGAACTAAAATTAGATTAGGATACAAAACTATTCCAATTAAGTTATCATATCGTAAACAAGAATAGTATAAGAACCACCAAGATCATTACAATTTAAAGACATAAGATTAAACAATCTTGAAAGAATTTAAAAGCAAGCATACCACTAAATAAACTTAATGATAAAGCTTGAACTACCAAATATCTAAGAGAGCATACAAAATAACTTACAAAAGACAATAATAAGGACATAAAGTGTTATTTCCCAACAAAAAAATATTTGTAAATGTATCTGAAGGAAATAACATCCCAATTTATCAAAAAAACCTTTAACAATAATTAATACATTTTAAATCAATGTTGTAAGGGCTAATAAACACTCTTTATATGTTAACTATCATACTAACCCATCAAAATATATCCCAATTAACAATACTAAAGATTTATAATTGCTTAAGCAAGCATCAGCAACATTTTACTAATATCTCAAACCTAAAAAACCAATCCAACACAAACCACAAAAAGCATATAGTAATACAAAAATCTAAAAGCCATCAAAGATAATAACTAACCCTCACAAAAGGTTGTCAATCCTCCCATCAATAGAGATGAAAAATCCTCATTGAAGAATAATCAACCATCCCAATAAAGAAAATCATTGATCATCAATAATAATCAAATAAGATTTTTAACAAGGATAATCAATTATCCTAAATAATGATCAATCATCATTAATGATCACTAAATGCAAAAACCAATACAAACATTAGAAGCAAGAAACCAAAATACCTTCTCTAACAACTCCTAAAAAACGAAATAATGAGTATGAGAACTCAAAAACCAAATGCTGCAAGAGCTAATAAACACTCCTTTATGCTAATTATTACACCAATCAATTTAAATAAATCTCAGTTAACAATATTAAAGAACTAAAGTTGTCAAAACAAGCATAGCAACATTTTACTAATATCTCAAACTCAATAAATCAATCCAAAGTGAACTATAAAGAATATATGGTAATGTGAAAAACAAAAACTCTCAAAGAAAATAGCTAAGCATCACAAAATCATCAATCATTTTCATCAATAAAAATTGAAAATCATTGTCAAAGAATAATCCACTAACCTAAAGAATGATAAATTATTGAATATCAATAATAATCAAGCAATATCTTTAACAAAGATAATCAATTATCCTAAATAATAGCTAATCATCATCCTTTGTTATACCATCTGGTAAGCAAGCCTTTAATTTGCCCATTTCTTAAAAAGATAACTTGCAAAATGGAAAAATCATAAGAAAATATAAAAAATTAAAAATTTTGACAATTCTTTTTTTGTTATTAATCATTAATAACTATAGCTTGTGGGAATGGTTTTTGGTGTGATAATTCTAAGCTACTCTTATACAAAATAGGTTATTCTCTCATTGGAAGTAGCAAAGGATATACCATTTTACTCTATTTTGCTCTTTGTGAAAATATACCTTAAACAAGACACTAATAATCCAATGGATCAAGAGAAACACTATCATCAAAAGAAGTATTGTCAACACCACCATAACTTTGGAATATTCATTCATCCTTTAAGAAGCTCATGTGGTGGTAATTTCTATTTAAAATGCATTTTCAAAAATTGAAGAAAAAAGAAGAAAAAAAGCATGTAAAACTCATGTATAAGGTTCATAGATATATGATCAAGCAGATGTATGTTGCCTGAGGAAATTTGGATCCAAGTATATAGGAATTCATGGAGATATAAAAGATTGTGCTTCTTAAAAACAAGACAAAATCATGGGTTTTGGCAGAGGAAAAATATGGCAATCCAAGTCAAGAGGTTTGGGATTTAAGAAAAAGCTGGTAATATAAAAGAGAAGTGTTTGTGACTTTGTAAAGCCTCACCTGGGGCTTTTATATTTAACAATGTTTAATAGTGATCTTTAAAAATGTGATAGAACTTGTATCCTGAGTTTAGGAGTTTTTTTGTGTGTTTGAGAGTGGGATGACTTGAAATATCACATGCAGCTGAGTCACCGCGCTCTGAGAGTTTTGGGCATTATTTCTTGGTATGTGGGGAATCAGCATTTAGATGGAGCCCTGGGTGAGACTTCTGCAGTTTTTGGGTCAGGCTGTCAGGCTAGTGACCAATCACAACAAGTTAGATCCTGGGTGGCACAGTCCTGAAGGTTTTTACAGGAACCTACTTCTGGAACATAACGGTATATGCCCAGAATGGGGATCTCTCTTGCACAAAAGATGCCTTTGCCCGAGCACAACATGATCCTCCCCTGATCAGCGACTATGAGAGATGCCCGACTAGATCGCCTTCACGAGCATCCTGGCGGCGTGCAGCTGGAGCAGTGCTGCGCGCTCTTCGAATTGATGGTGGTGGGAGCACTACAGCTGCGTCATGGACATGCTGTATCGATCCGGCCGATTGGGCGATGCCGAGGGCCTGATCGAGGCGATGCCAGTGGCAGCGGACGAGATCTTGTGGGGATCGCGGGTCGACCGCGACAGAGGGGATCTAGAGCAGCGCGATCACTGCTGGGAATGAATGGATCAGCATCGCCATATCTCTTGCTGGGGAGCTTGCTAGGCAAAAAGATCTAGGCAAGAATGCTTGATACCATGATCTCCTCCGCTCGAGAACTCCCACGCGATGATCATCAATTCATGGAGGAATTCGCAGTGTGCTTGCGGCACTGCGGCGATACCAGCGATCTCGTTGCTGCTCGCCAGACCCATGCCAGGATTCTCAAGAGCAAGCATCGAAGGAGCGTCTATCTTGCGAACTTGATGATCCAGATGTATGGGAAATGTGGCTGCGTCGAGGATGCGCGCGCGGTGTTCCGATCGATCGATCAGCCCAACGCCTTCTCTTGGAACATCTTGATTCATACTTTTGCCTCCAATGGGAATCTGCTGGAAGCGAGACAAACTTTCAATGCTATGCCACATCACACTCCAGTGTCATGGAATTCGATCATAGCGGCTTATAGTTCTGCTGGGGAGACGTTACAAGCGAATGCCCTTTACGAGAAAATGCCAGTGAAGACCATCGAAGCGAAGAACACGATGATCGCAGCCTTTGCCCGGAATGGGCAAGTTGACAAAGCAACTGAAGTGTTCCACACAATCGCGCGGCCCAATGCAGTTTCTTGGAACACGCTCTTGCGCGGTCTCGCGGATGCCGGACGAATCCACGCTGCCCGTGAGATTTTTGAGCGAATTCCGGTCAAGGATGTGATCTCTTGGACCGTGATGCTCATCGCGATTGCCAAGGAAGGCGATTTGCCAGGTGCTCGAAGATTGTTTGATCTCATGCCCAATCGAAGCATTGTTTCCTGGACTGCGATGCTCCAGGCCTACGCGGATGCTGGGCTTGTCCAGGAAGCTCGAGAGATCTTCCAAGCAATGCCTGATTGGAACGTTGTGTCATGGAATTCATTGATTGCAGCTCTTGGGCGTGAAGGAAATGTGGATGAATCAAAGAAGCTCTTCGATTCACTGCCATTTCCAGATATCGTCTCGTGGAATTCGCTGCTCCAGGTCTATGCCCTCAATGGATATATCGCTCAAGCTCACTCCGTGTTTGATTCTATGCCGGGGAGAGATGTGATATCGTGGACGGCGATGGTGGCGGCGCTCGCGCAAGAGGGCGATTTGAAAGAAGCGAAGGAACTCTTTGATTTAATCCCGGAGAAGAACTTGGTGTCTTGGTATGTTCTTCTCGCGGGATATGCCCAAGAAGGACATATCAAGGAAGCAAAGCGAGTTTTTGATCTAATGCCGCAGCATGATTATTCTTCCTGGGAAACTTTGTTCCAGGGATTTTGCTGGTATGTGCCTGTGGAAAAATCGGGACATTTGTTCGAGGAGATGCCAGAAGCTAGCCTCTTGTGTTGGAATTCACTGCTTTCATCGTATGCCCAGGCGGAGTCTATCTTGAAAGTGAGAGATGTTTTTGTGAGAATGCCGTGCCGGAACATAGTATCTTGGAATGTTCTTCTTCATTTCTATGCGAGAATTGGAGATTTGGAACGCGTGAGAGAGTTCTTCCATTCGAGAATTCCAGAATTTGATATGGCTTCTCTCACCACAATGGTGGCGGCGTTTTCACAAAAGGGGCATTTGGAAGAGGCCAGAAGCGTGTTTGATTCCATGCCTGAAAGAGATTTAGTCGCCTGGACAGTAATGTTTAATGGATATTCCCACAACGGGTATCTGGAAGATGCGAAGCGTGTTTTTTATCTAATGCCTTGGCATGACATATTGATCCACACGACAATGCTCTCGGCATATGCCCAATATGGGTATATGCTGGAAGCAAGATTTGTGTTTGAAAGAATGCCTTTCCGGGACAGTGTGGTTTGGAACATTGCCATAGCGGGATATTCACAGGTAGGGAATCTCACCTTTGCAGAGAAAATGTTTAGCGAGATGCCAGAATATTTGGACACTGTGTCTTGGAATACTATGATCACAGCATATGCCCAAAACGGGCATCTCAATCATGGCATTGCGCATTTTTTCATGCTCCAAGTAGAAGGCATCGCTCCTGACGAGGTCACTTTCATGACAATCTTGACTGCTTGCAGCCGGATTGGTATGCTCGCCACTGGTTTGGAGTGTTTCATGCTGATGCAACGCGATCATGGATTGGAGCCAAGCAAAGAACACTTCAACACAATGATCGACATCCTCTCTCGAGCTGGAGAGCTCCAAAACGCGAAAGATTTGATCAATTCCATGCCGCATTCTCCAAACGATGTGTCTCTTGGAAGCCTCCTCGGCGCTTGTGAATTGGATCAAAACTCCAAGAAACTGGGGGCTCAAGCAGCTGCCAGAATGGATCCCAAGAGCCCATCACCGTACATCTCCATGGCTGGATTGTTCGCCAAAAGCTCTAGCTCGGCTGCTTCGGTTAAAGTAACGAATGTACGGTAGCTCTGTTTAGCTAACGAAGTAAGCTCCGTTAAAAACCGACTGAGGAGCGAATCAAATCGTGTGAAGGCAAGGGCGAGCCAAGTGTTTGCTTCCATGGCTCTGTTTTCTAGGGTTTCCACTCCTTCGTGTGTTTGGAATGGGAGAGGAGAAGGCAAATTTCTCCACTGCTCGACGCATTCTAGCGCGGGATCCTGGAAATGTCGAGCGGAGGTCGAAAGATCGGACAAAGCGAGTAAGTCGCGATGTTTCCTCCAGGCCAAAATTTCATTCTTTCTTTGCTAGGCTCCTCTTCTTCCTCTTCCCAATCTATGCTGGAGCGCTTGGAGCGCTTGACGCAATCGAGTAAGCCACGCTACCGAAATATTTCGATCCATCCCTCTTCGCGATCTCAGGTATTTCTATCATTCGATCTCCAGGCAGCAGCAGCAGCAGCAGCAGCAATACAATCGCGAGCAAGCTCGTCGATCGCTACGGTAACAGCGAGGAGGGCTCGGATTTCTCCGTGCCACTGGTGTACTCGCGGTACAAGAAGCCCAAAATCTCGGTCCAGAGGAACATCAAGCGCCAGGAGTACCTAGACAAAGTCTCGCAGCGCGATGATTCTGGGACGTTTGCCACAATCGGGCTGTTCGTGCTCGTCCCACCGCTCGCGATTCTCGCAGTAGCGATCGCCGTGGGCTATGTCAATATCTTACCGTGATGGAACAAATACGCAAAATATTTCATATAGAAGTCCTAGGGTTCTTCTGTTCTCGTGTAGAGAGAAGCATGACCGGCCATGGATCCGGGGAAGGCGCCGATCGATCGCTACCAGGCAGGTCTGGCGCTCCTCTCCGATCTACAAGCCGATGGATCGTTGGCGGCCGGCAGCGTCGATGCTTCTCCCAAAATATTTCAGCTCCTCCGAGTGGTGCATGCGATCGAGAATGCCGCATTCTCGCCGATAGGGAAGGAGTGAGTGATCGATCATCGATCTACTATCTATACACCATCTCATTCTTCCTTCTTCTTTCTTCTTTTCCAGGCGAGTAGCGAATTTCAGGGCTGCAGCGCTAACACTAGTAGCTGATTTTCTCCGCTCGGATGAGGTGTGAATTTCTTTCACCATTCCTCTTCTTCTTTTCCTCGTCTATAGCTTTTCTTCCTTCGTGTTGACAAGAGAGAACTTTCCACAGGATCTTTCGCGTGGTTGCATCACGTTACTGGTAACGAGTAACATTCTCACGTTTAATGGAAGCCTTGAGTTTTATTGTTCTTTCCTTTCGTTTTGATGTTTAGCGCGCAGGTGTAGGGGCTGCCGAGGAGCTCGAGAAGGTGAATGATGATTTGGCGGCTGCAAACGCTAAAGTTGAAGAGCTCCAAGAAGCTCTGGCAAACGAGGCAAGTTCTTGATGGTTTTGGTTCTCACCTAAAGTTTTCTTTTCTCTCGTTGCATTAGGTGGCCAGCAAGGAAGCTCTGATGAAGGAGAATTTTGTGTTACGAACTCGTCTCCATGTACAGCAACAAGACCTCTTCCAGCACGACACTCAAAGCCGGTAAGCGAACTTTAAAGCCAGAACTTGGCATGATAGGTGATCTCGTTTCCACAGGGATGTGACTCATCACTTGCAGGCTCTGGGCAAAGACCGGGCTCAATTAGCTTCAGAGAAAGCAGTACTTGCGGAAGAGTGCAGTGTAAAATCAGGCATTCTAGAGCGTCAGGTACGTAGTTAGCTCATGTGACTTTTGAGGCTAGAATAAAATTTCTTGCAGGCAACGGCCATCGCACAACTCATGGACCAATGCGAGAAGGATGCCAAAGAGCGTGACAAAGTTGTCGAGTCCTTGAAGGCTATCAGTGAAGAAAAACATGTTTTCGAGGTGAATCTACGGCAGCACTCGAAGGTAAAAAGCTTTTGTACCAGCTTTGCTTTCTGTATCTAATCTTTCCTTTTGCAGGTTATCGAGAACTTGATACACGCAAACGCGGATCTCATTGAAACAGCCAACAACTTCAAAGCTAACCGCGGTTTGTAAAAGGGCATATTCGGGAAACTCCATTTGGTCGTTTCGTCCATGTATGGACTTCCTTTACTTTTTTTTTCGCTGTATATGTATAGCGCGTACAGGGTGGAAGGGATTTAGGCAGAGATGGCTATCGAGGTGCTCTCCGCTCTCGACAAGGCCAAGACACAATGGTACCACTTCACGACTATCGTCATCGCAGGGATGGGATTCTTCACAGACTCGTACGATCTTTTCTGCATTACGACAGTGACGAAGCTGCTAGGCCGTCTGTACTACTATGATCCCACGACAGGCAAACCAGGTACTCTTCCGGCCAATGTTTCTTCCGCAGTAACTGCCGTGGCTCTCTGTGGAACTTTCGCCGGCCAGCTTTTCTTCGGCTGGCTCGGGGACCGAATGGGACGGAAGAAAGTCTATGGCATCACTCTGATGCTAATGTTCTTCTCAGCGATAGCCTCGGGCCTCTCATTCGGTCACTCGGCGAAGTCAGTGATTGGGACGCTGTGCTTCTTCCGGTTCTGGCTGGGTTTTGGTATTGGCGGAGACTATCCATTATCAGCAACGATCATGTCCGAGTATGCCAACCAGAAGACCAGAGGCGCCTTCATTGCGGCGGTCTTTGCCATGCAAGGCTTTGGGATTCTAGCAGGTGCCGCGGTTTCTCTGCTGGTGTCTGCCATCTTCAGGCACGCATATCCGAGTCCGGCCTTCATCGTCGATCACGTTGCTTCAACTCCTCCTGAGGCTGACTACGTGTGGAGGATCATTCTCATGCTTGGGGCAGTCCCGGCGGCGTTAACTTACTACTGGAGGATGAAGATGCCGGAGACGGCTCGCTACACAGCTCTGGTTGAAGGCAACGTGAGCCAGGCAGCGGAAGACATGAGCAAGGTGTTACAGGTCCGGATCGATGCTACTATTACTAGCTCGGAAGCTGAGGTACAGCAGTCTCGACCGCAGCCTCCAACATACAAGCTTTTCTCGAGGGAGTTCGTGAGGAGGCACGGGCTCCATCTCCTGGGGACAACCACGACTTGGTTCCTCCTCGATATCGCCTTCTACAGCCAGAACCTCTTCCAGAAGGACGTGTTCACGGCCGTGGGGTGGCTCGAGAGTGCCAAGAAGATGAGCGCGCTAGAGGAAGTTTACAGGATCTCGAGAGCCCAGGCGCTGATAGCTCTGTGCTCCACGGTTCCAGGATACTGGGTGACAGTCCTCCTCATCGACAAGCTCGGCCGCTTCGTGATCCAGCTCATCGGCTTCTTCTTCATGACGGTGTTTATGTTCGCACTGGCCGTGCCTTACCACTACCTCAAGGATCATCACACCGCCTTCATAGTCCTGTACGCGTTCACGTTCTTCTTCGCCAACTTCGGCCCGAATGCCACCACCTTCATCGTCCCGGCGGAGCTGTTCCCGGCGCGGCTGCGCTCGACGTGCCATGGGATATCGGCGGCGGCTGGCAAGGCCGGGGCCATTGTTGGATCGTTTGGGTTCCTGTACGCGAGCCAGAGCAGGCACAGCAGCGAGATCGACAAGGGGTACCACACGGGGATTGGTTTGAGGAACGCGCTCATCGTGCTGGGATTTTGCAACTCGCTGGGGCTGGTGTTCTCGCTGCTGGTGCCCGAGACCAAAGGAAAGTCGCTCGAGGAGCTCTCTGGGGAGGAACCTCTGTAGAATATTCCCTTATTTTTTTATCGAAATTTATCCTAAAAATTAAAAATCTTGATGAATAATTAGATCATTTATTAGAATCATATATCTTGCTCTAGCATATATTGTTATTAGGTTCCTCAGATTGTTTCTGTGGGATAATATAGACATGGTTCACTTTAAAGTGGACCATATTTGTGCCAGCATTTACATGAATGCAATGTTCCCTCTTTAGCCTTCATCTTCTTTTCACGTCCATGTTCATGATGGAATGGTGCTTTCCATATGGGGATTTTGGGTGGAGTCCTAGTGCGAATTTTTGTGCTTGCAAGCACTACAGATCATTAGTAGGAACAAATAGCCTGTGGCAGTCCTGGCTGTCAAAAGTGGTATGTGATCTTTTTTTTCAATTTCTGCAGATCAAGAACTATACATACATACCCCATATAGCAAAGTTTGGTAAGTTTACGTGTTTGTGGATGTGAAGGACCTGACTATATATTATTTACCCGATGCAGATATGGAGGTACACATTGAGCCTGCTAACTTTAACATATCTGTGTAGCAAGGTGCCATTTGATTTAAAATATAGCGTCAACTTTCCATCATGTCTGCTCTGGTAATATCTTCCCACAGCTACTATTGCATCTCTAACAATTTACATGATGTTCCCAATGATAAATAGGCCACTGAAATGCAAGGACAAGTGGGAGTGAATCATACATTGTCTAAGAACTTCAGCTTCAATAAGTAGGTATTATAGACTTTTTGCTAGTGCGTAAACATATTTTCTCTTTTAGGCATGGGTTCCCTATCTAGAGTTTATGTTGAGAGGAGTAGACTTGGAAAAGAGTAAGCTTTGTCAACTGCCCACCATTTTCTAGACAATTTCTAATCTATAATAATAAAAATGAAGAACCTAACCTCGAAATATTTTCTTGATGTTTTCACCAATAAATGAGAGACACAATTGGAGCGTCAATTGGCTCATGCGAGAGAAGGAAATATAACATATGTCACATGTACGCCCCGCTATGTTAAGAAAGTCTGGGGCATAAGAGATTGACGCACTTGCTCTTCTCTCACATTCGAACTCTTCCACTCCAAGTTGTGAGCAATCTTGCGTGGATTGATCAGGGTGTGGAGAATTTTCAAACCATTTTCTGGCATGAATTTGCTAACCAGGAGAAATTGGAAGGATATGAACTATCAGCTCTCTAGTTTGATATTGTAACTGATCTTATCAAAGACTATTTAACATAAAATTATATATATCATTTGTTTTTATTATTGCTTGGTATATATTCCAACACTGTTCCAGAGTGCTGACCATAGCACTCCATTGCTAATCCAGCCCTAGAAAAGAGGTCAGAACTTTTGCAATCCAGCCTACATCTATTGGCTAACAACTGACATGAGTTTTCTTCACTTTGTCTGTAAGAGTGAAACATGAGAAGATGTGAACCTTGGCTCAATCAAGCAAGGTTTCAAGACTCTAGCCGACCATAGCACCGGATATTGGCTGCGCTTTCTAGCCTTGCTGCTGGCAACGAGAACAAGGTATGCTCTGTCAACTTTTTGCTCCTTGATGGTCTGATTCAGTTGGGCAATTTCTAATATTAGATAATATAACATTAATCAATTTGTCTTTGGAATTACTGATCAAAGCTTGCATCTAAAGTAAAAATGGAAAGCTTGGCTTGCAACTAGAAAATGCTAGGCAATTGACAAAGCTTAGTGTTCCAAGCTGAATCTCTTTTCCTTTGTTAGCTTGCTTCCCTAATTCTCCATAATGGTCCTACATTTGATGCAGCCAATGAACACCTGATGCCTGCATCTGGAAGTTGTATGTTCTAGAGCTATTTGACAAGATGCAAGTGAGAAATATTATATTAAAGAATAAAAAGTTAAAGATATGTTGAAGTTTTTTGTGGGAAACTTGACTCGATAGAGAGTATAGGAGAAATACTTGACTTTGCTTCAATTTGCTCACAATAGTACTTATTAATCAACTATTTATATATCTCTATGTATGGCAATGTATGGCTATAAGCCTAAGTCTCCTATGACTTTGAGTTTAGTTTTGGTTCAAGTACCTCATGCTTGTGATTTCCTGGAGGATATGCAAAACAAGTTTAAGTTGGCAAAGTTGAACATGAGGCAAACTCAAGATTGAGACAAAAGATTGGTTAATTAACATCATCTTTATCAAGAGTGATAATGTTTTTCTTAAGTTGTTAAATGCACAATAGTCTTTGAAAAAAGTTGGAAGTGTTAAATTATCTCTATGGTATTGTGGGTTTTAAACAATTTTACAATGTGTGGGAGATGTTGCATAGATTTTGGACTTGCCAGCTAGTTTGAAAATTCATCTAATATTCTATGTGAGCAAGTTTAAAGTGTGTTTGCACTCTAGTAATGTTGTAAATCAGTCCATCATCCAAATCCCAAAGATTGATGTTGAGAAGGTTAGTTTGGCCAATATTTTTACTCAAAGATTGGTAAAAACACACTAGAAGACAATTTGGGAATTGTTAGTTCAATAGAATGGTTATTTCATGGAAAAATCTATATAGGAAATTAAGAATGATGTGAAAAGACTATTTCCTATGACTTAAATAATATTTCTGAGGAAGGGGAGAATTAAATTCTATAGCCGTATTGCAATATAATTTGAGTTGTTTGTTCTATTCTTTATCTTCTTTCCATAACTATATTGTCATGTAAGAAAGCCATATTGCTTTGTTTCTTTTGTGGCTATTTTTCGTGATATTAGTGTTGTAGTTTGAACATCTTTTTTCTATGGCTGTATTACTTTGGACTCCTTTCATATGAAGCTTGTTTAGCTTCTCGGGGCTACTATCTGTGGCTGGGTTATGAGGTAGGGGAGAATGATACAAAATACAAAAATATTCTAAGAATATTCCATTTTTCTAATGGGATTTTAGGTTATAACACCTTAAGGGTCTAAGGTTCACTCTCTTGTTTGTTTCAATTATATTGGCTACTGCTATGGGATTCGGGGGAGGGTTGGAAGCTGCCACTAGAGATCACCATCTGGTTGCTGTGGATGGGGCTGTTGTGGAGCCTCTACTCAAATTTTTGACATGGAAGGTAATGAGATTTTTGAAGATGGTGTTGACATTGCTGAATGATCATTTCATCCATTGTTTTGCAGCATGCAATGCTGCAATAGCTAGTATCCCCTGTGATCTTGTTGGAATACACTCATATGTTCTCACAAAGTGTTGTGGAGCAAGTTCTATTGGTGTAATAATGCATCTTGCAGCATCTCAAGGCAATGGTATCTTTGTGTGTGGTGGTATTTAGTAAAGTTGTTAAGTTCTTTTATTGTGTTATATCTTAAATGTTACAAAATTGCTTAATATGTACTTTAAGTTTTTTATCAGTTGTGGTCAGCTTGATATTTTCTGAACAAGGCACACCTTAGTGTTATATAGGAATAAATTTTTTTTTTTAGTTTTTGAAAAGAAATATATATATGCACAAGAGGGGTCATATGCAGTGTCTAATAAAGTCTGGTGCCTTTATAGGTGGCTGGTACAATTAAAAATTCCAATTCAATTTAAATTTACAAGGATATACCCTCACACTGAAAAAGCTCATATAAAGATCAAGCCAGTACCATTTCATGGCTGTAGAATCTTTTGGGGATAAGACATTAGTTAAAACAGCTTTATTTTAGCTTAAGAAATCATGCTATCTATCTATCTATCTATCTATCTATCTATATATATATATATATATATATATACACACACATATACACATATACATATATTTATGTATATATATGTATATATATGTATGTATGTATATGTATGTACACATATATACATATATATAGCATGATTTCTCAAGCTAAAATAAAATTGTTTTAACTAATTACTAATCCTTAAGAGATTCTACAGCCATTGATCCTTTTATGAGCTTTTTCAGTGCGAGGGTATATCCTTGTAAATTTAAATTGAATTGGAATTTTTAATTGTACCAGCCACTTACAAAAGCACCAGACTTTATTATACACTGCATGTGACCCCTCTTGTGCATAAGAAAGAATATGTTTTTCTTTTCAATAAGTAAAAGAATTAAAACATGTTAATGTCTATGCAAGGCCCTACATAGCACTAAGGCATGCCTTTTTCAGAAAATATCAAGCTGACCACAACTCATAAAAAACTTGAAGTACATTTATTAAGCAATTTTGTAATATTTAAGATCCAACCTGAGCCAACAACTTTATTAAATATTATCTATCCCGTTTTATTTAATATCAAATTAAATTTTAAAAAACTAATATTAGAAGAATTTGATAGATTTTTAATATGGTTTAATATGTCTTCAAATTGATTCTAACTTTATTTTTTGTTAAAATTAATTTATAAAATTTCAATTATCTATAGGAAATGGTTGAACGAAGGGTGACAGATAAACAGTGGGTTAGAATGCTCATGCGCGATGAGGATGACAACCGAGTAACCATTAGAGCGATCATGCGATTCTCCCAGTTCTATGAATTGTACGGTCTGGTGGCACGAGGGTGCCACAATCAAAATCATCTGGATCAAAAACGAGTTTTTGCTGCTAAAATGTAGAGTTATTGAGGAGAAAACATTGGTGGTAAAAGAGGTTGTGAAACAGAAAGCTACGTCGATTGTTTTATCTGTAACTCTCGAAGGTGATAAGTGGTGGCTGAAACTTGGACTTATGCCGTCAAATGGCACTAAATCAGGAAAGGGAATATAACTGGGAAGAATGGTTTCACATTGAGCATGAAATGGCATGCCGAGACAAACTTTGCTCGAGCTCACATGAAAACGCATTTTGCAAGAGGCCAGCTTTGATCGTCAGGGATGCAGGGATCCCCTTGCAGCAAATGCCTCAGCAGCAGTGGAGTGCTCAAGAGCTTTACGACTGAGCAAGCAACTCTACAGCGCTCCAAGGAAGGACTCCGCCATTGGCTAGCTTGAGACAGCAAAATCAAAGGCCTTCCAAGTCATTAACAAGATCATACGGAAGGATATACATCCCGGTGAGAGCTCAACATCAGGGGATTTGTGACACCTTCTCGTATACCAGAGTTTTCGGCCAGGCTCTGTTAACCATGCCCAGAAGATCATCAAACCAACGCCCAGATGCCAGTCCCCAATCAATGAGACTGTAAACTCCATGTCTGTAGCAAAAGTTCTTGGGAAAGATTTTGTTGTGGTGCACACCGTGATTCAAGCACAAGTGTGACACCGTATCATAGCAGCTTCTTCGATCGATGTGTGTGAGGTGCTAAGAACTAGGCACACCATTAAGTTAGAGATGATCAAAGATCCACATTTACTACAACACGGCCATCTTTTCAAGCCTCTTGTTGAGAGCTGGCTCAAGCGCAATGACTGGTACGTAATAAAAGCTTGGCATTTACATTCTCACTAACATGATATTCATTTGTATATAGGTGTAATGTTCAGTGCTTGATATCCGTTGAAAATGCACTTCTGAAGAAATTTTCAACCAAAATTGTGCATAGAGAGATCCCCATATTCAAGTTGACTCACTTTGTCTGGATCATATATCATAGACAAAGTGAGCAAGGAACAAGCATTCCAAAGTAAGATTGTACCTGTCTGGTGGACTTTGAGTGACGGAATATTAGCCTTATTCTGAGCATGTTTTGTGTCCAAGCGCATCGCCATCACCTCTTTTATTGTTGGACGTTTCTAGCTGTGCACAGTAACCCGGCTTGCAAAATGGATTTCTCTATGGTGTTTATTACAAGGTCTCTTGTCATCACGTTTATAACCCAATCTATGAGAACTTTCAAACTTATCTACATCCGTTGGAATGTTCTGGCTACTAACACAAGTAGCAGAATCCAAAGCTGTCCCATGGTAGCTACACTGGACGAAGTTGCATACTCTGTTCATTCAAACATGATAAATTATTAAGATAATTTTGCCTACTGGTGGGCATATCCGATTGTTCCCTTGAAAGTACTTACTGTCGCAATGTTATTGCTATCCTGAACCAGTCTTGAGATTCCAAAATCTGTCATACATGCGGTGAAATCTTGATCAAGTAGAACGTTCTCCGGTTTGAAGTCACTGTGAATGATCGTGCTGTCAAACTCGTAATGGATATAATGTAAACCTTGAGCGATGTCAAGGGCAATATCGAGTTTTGTCAATGCAGTGATACCTTGAAGTTTTTGCAGTATGTCTGCAATTGAACCGTGTAGCTTGAAACCAATGCTTTGATTGTGTCACTCCAGCAATAGCCCAGCAATCTTGTGATGTTTCGATACTTCACTTTAGACAATATCATAGCTTCTGTAATGAAACTTTTCCTGATGATATTATCATCCTCCTGACTTTGGTGCCTGAGACTTTAATGGCCACCACTTCTTCTTCAATGAAACCTTGATACACCTTCTCCAAGTAGTTTTGCATTGTCAAAGTTCTCTGTCATGTCCATTACCTGTTAAAAACTTGTAATAAGATGATGCTATCAATATCATGACAACCACTAAAATAACTGGTATAAGCCAGCGAAGTTTAGATTTGGCTTGATGATGATGAGGAGCTTGTGGTGGAGCTGTGGGTGAAGGACAGTTTCTATTCTTTCCACACAACGAAGGGTTCCCCAAAAACATGGAGCAGTCAAATTCCGAGATGTGCGGATTAAGTTGTTGTATGAAGCATTAAAGAACTTCAAGAACGTCAACGTAGTTAACGAGCTTGGGATGGCTCCAGTCAACGCATTCGAGGCCAAGTCAAGGTAAGTGAGCCCGCTGCATTCAACCAAACTAGCAGGTATGTCCCCTGAGAAGGCATTGGAAGAAAGAACAATGGACTGAACTTTGTTGAAGCCTCCAAACCATGGTGGAATCTCACCTTGAAAATTGTTACCAGATAACTGGAAGCCAAAGTTCCAGGCTTTGCTGGAGTTGATGGCAAGGTTCCAAGTTGATAAGAACTGCAGCCTGAAAAGGGTGCCTATGTTGGGTGGAATCTCCCCTGTTAAGAGATTCTTCGTGAGAATTAAATACCTGAGATTGGTCATTTCCCCAAACTCTTGTGGGATCGGTCCCTCGAGCTCATTGCGGTCGAGCCTCAGGAAGCCAAGATTCCTGCACAGCTTGAAAGCAGCTCCGCCACCAGCAAAGTCATTTCAGTATCGTCAAAAACTTGGGTTTATGGGGACAGCCGTCCGTGCGATCTGAAACAACATATAGCATCACGATCGAGGGAGAAAGGAGAAAGAAAGCGTCACACACAGTACCTTCAAAGCTACAGATAGGAACTTCATATCAGCTCCCTTTCTTCTGGTGCCAAAAGTAGGATTCATTACTACTATGTCGACACTAATCCCTGTAATATGACCAGTGTAATATTTAAATGACGTGCGTGAGCACCCGTCAGACCAACAATCACAACGAGCAAGGTGACACAATCTGAAGGACACAGAGCTTCTTGCTGCATGAGCTCGAAGAGCCCTCAAAGCCAATTGTGCCTCTCCGTTTCCCACATATCCCATAAGCAATGCGTTCCAGGAGACCACAGTGTGCCACCTTGTCCTGTCAAAAGCTCTTCGAGCATCCAGACTTCCACAGCTTGCATATATATCCACCAGGCTGTTTCCCAGGGAAGTATCAAGCTTGCATCCAATCTTCAAAGCTTGAGCGTGAACAGCCATGCCTTTCTCCAATGCATTCATCTTCACAGAGTCTCCCTTAACCAGCCTTCCATTCTCTTCCGCCAACCTCGCGCAAGCTTTGAGTGCTGCGAGAACAGTAACTCGGTTTGGCTTGCAGATCCCTTCTTCTCTCATCGAGTCTAAGAGTTCCAGAGCTAGATCACCACCGCCATTCTCTGCATATCCGGGTATCAGTGCGTTCCACGAGACAACACTGCGAGTGGTCATCTTATCGAAAACCTTGCAAGCCATTCTCAAGCTTTCACACTTGGCAAACATGCTGATGGTGCTGTTCTCCACGAAAGTATCCATCATAGCCAGCCTTTGCTGCCCTGGAGAAAATCTCCATACCTTTCTCCATACACTCCACCTTGACGACCTTCAGCTTTCCCTCCTCCATGGCCGAGAGCAACGAGCAGGTCTTGAGAGCAGCCACAAAAGACCGACAGTTTGGCGCCACAAAGAACGAGAGTTTGATTGCCATCATGTAAGAACCCTAAATTTAATTAAGTTATAATTAGATTTTAGATTAATGGATAGCTCATGATTAGTTAGTGGTAAGTATAAACACTAGTGTTAAAAATTAATTACAAAACGAACTAGAGAAGAGATTAACACAAGGAAATCATAACTGTAAAACCTACTTAAATATTTTAGGTATATTTTTTACACCTTTTAAAAGAAAACCAATAAAAATGCTTGAAACTAATATTAGGGTTCTTGCTTTCTAATTTAAGGAAAACAATCAGCGGCGTATTCCAGGCAGATGAGGCGGCGCTGGCGGCGCTCCGGAGCTTCAGCTCCGGCGGCGTCATCGCCGCGCACAAGCAGCTCTACCAGGATTCCGCCGCCATGGAAGCGGCGAGCAAGAGCCAGGGTACGTATCGCGGCTGCGTCTCTAGCTATATGGACGGGCTGTCCTCCATTCCAGTGCCGCTGGTCACGAGTCGATCCACTCTCTGCAAGAATGTGGGGCTTGTGGATCTGGAGCCCGGCCGACCCAATCCAGGCAGTGTTCTTCACGGGTTTCTCCGAGTGGAGGCCTTTCGCTGCTCCAATGTGGCCGTGATGGCACCGGAAGATGACAGTGGAAGGATGGCGAGGCTCTTGGCTCTCAACTCGCTGTTCTGGAATTCCTCGCAGGAAGAAGTGGCAAGGATTTTCCACAGGGCGCGGAGGTTTTTCCTGAAGAACCCATGCCTGGTGGAAGCGGAGTTTTGCCAAGGCCTGGCAGTCTGGGTTCCAAATCCACTCTCGCTCGAGATCGTCTCTTGCTTTCCTCGAATGGAAGTTGGCGACCCGGATGTTTTTATCGGCTGGGGGAGCAAGGAACTCGACGAGAGGAAGAACTACTTGGCTGCGGCGGATCTCTTCACTCGCTGCCTCGAGTGTCTCCAAGCACGTGGAGACGAGACGAAGATGGTGGTGGCTCTCGTGAGGCGAGCCGAGGCACGGATCAAGCTTGAGCGATACGAAGGAGCTCTGGCCGACGTCGAAAAGGCACTGGCACTGGATCCTCGCGACTTGAAGGGCCTCGCAGTACAAGGAGCGGCGGTGCTCGGGCTCAAGCAGTATGGATTATCCAGCTCGTGCTTCAAAGAGGTGGTCGAAGTGGAAGCCTCGCCGGCTTACAGGAGCTTATACGATGCTTCACTGCGTTTCAGGGAGCAGAGTGAGCGTGGCGTTTACGATCTCTCCCTCTCCCTGCATTACCTCGCGGCTGGAGGAGGCTTGGGAGATGACCACGCTCCAGAACTTGCAGATTTTGTTGGTCCCGTGAAGGTGGCGATGACTCAAGATGGCCGAGGGAGGGGCCTCTTTCTCACCGAAAACGTCGCTTTGGGACAACTTCTTCTCGTCAGCAACGCGGTGGCAGTGGTTTTTCCAGACGAGGAGTGCCCGGTCTTGGAGGCGGATAAGTTTGGAACTCTTCTCACGGCGGTGCTGAGGGCGTGCATGGCTTCTCCAAAGACTCTAACACAAGTCTACAGCTTGGCCGAGAGCGATCCCGTCACAGGACTAAGCATCGACAAGGACAACGTCCCAGAGATGGAGTTCTTCCAGCCGAATCACACACGAGCTCGACCACAAAGAGCTCCTCCTCGACGTTACTCGCATTGCAAACATCCTTCACTGCGTCAACGAGAATGGAGAGGCAGACGACGACCCTCTTGTTGTCGGAGACTTCGATGGCCTGTGGACGCTTCCCGGTTTCATCAACCATTCGTGCCTTCCAAATGTTGGTGTCCACTGCGTTGGAAAGGCTCTTTTGGTGGTGGCTGCGAGAGATCTGGAGGCCGGGACCGAGCTCGTTCGATCATATGGAAGTGCTCTCGCTCCCTGGAACCCGATGAGGCGGGACTCCATCAGAGTAAACTGCCGGTGCGAGAGGTGTACTCTGGAAGAACGATTGGAAGAAGAGCTCCGGGATGTGAGCCAGAGATTTGATGCGCTGCTCAATGCTACCTCAGTGGTGGAGTCCGAGTTTCACGAGGAGATGGGGGAAGTAGCAGTGGAGCTGGAGTGCAAAGTTTGTGATATGGATTTGAGAGAGGCCGAGAGGCAGTGGATCCGGACGTCCTACTGCCTGGCTTACTTGTCTTTGCATCTGAGAAAGGAGGCTTTGCAAAGAGAAAAAACGATGCCTTTGAAGGAAGACATCGCTCGAGCTCTTCACTCGACGGCTCCTGGTTTTAGCAAGACTCTCATGGCAATGTGCTGCTTGCTCGAGGATGGAAATGGCGACCAAGAGCTCCTGGGAAATGAATGCTTTGCGCTTTGTGGACGTCAAAACCATGAGATCGTTGCAGCCATTGTCAAGCAAGTAAGAGACAAAGCTAAGAAATTCTTCTGGTGGTTAGTCATTTTATATTAGTAGCCTCATAAATCACTGAGGCAGGTAGCCCTGGTACTGTGATCTCACATGCATAGTCAGTGATACCATGATTGTGGCAGTCTGATTGCATTGCATAATACCATCTGGGCTGCTTTGACACGATTTTTGATCCCTTCAGAAGTGTTGTGGTGGTGCATGACATATGCCAAGGTTTTTATATATGTTAGTTTCTTGAACAATTTCCGTAGAAACAGATATATGATTTGGGATTGCTAAACTCCATAATCTGTGTCTTAGTGAGGTTAACTTGCATACTTGGTTGTCTTGTGTCTTTTGCATGTCAACGCATTTGGTGCTAGTAGCAGCAAGTCATCTGCATAGAGGAGTAGGAATAGGTAGAGTCCCGAGAGCTGGTATAAGCTAAGTGCCTCTCCTTTGATCATTGTCTCTAGTGCCCCAATATATATGGCAAAGAGAATAGGAGAGAGTGGGCAGCCTTGGCAGACACCTATTGTTGAAGGGACTATTTCCATTTGGAGTTGCACAGACATATATATCTCAATAATGATGCTACTCAAATGTCTAAGTAGTATCAATGTAATGTATTTTATCTTTGTTTCTTAAACTAATTAGAAAAGGGAGCCTTTGATGTTATTTATTTGACCCACTTGTCTTATAGTAGATCCTAATTATTACCAAAAAAATAAATACCAAACTTGATAGACAATATCAAGCCAATTCAAATACAAAGTGGGAATATATCAAACCTTTAATCCAATGGACAATACTAAACTGACAAAGTACTTGTTCAAAAGTATATTATATTTTTGGTAGTTACTAATCAATAAGAATCAAACTTATACTGATATTACATATAATGTATCTTATTTTTGTCCCCTTAAGCAAGTTGCAATTGCTTAATGAGAAAGCTCTTATACTATTTATATAATATTTCCCCAGTGATAATATATTCAAATTTCATCCTATAACCACATATATTACAATCTAATTCCAACAAGTGGATAATAAATAATTATTAATATATCCAAATCTTATCCTATAACTACATATATTAAAATTAAGTTCTAGCAAAGTAGATAATAAGTAAGTGCTATAGTATTGTATCAAAAGCTTGCTTGAAGTCTATAAAACCACGTAATACCACTTCGTTGTATTCAAGTTTTATTTGTTCAAGTAGGATCCATACTATAAGAATATGATAAGTCTTTCTGAATTCTACTTAGCTTGTAGCATAGATGTGGTTCAATTTAGCTTATAGTGATCACTCTTTTTCAATTTATTTTGCAAAGACTTTAATAAAGATGCTGGAAACCACAATTATCCAATAGTTTGATGGTTGTATGGTGTTTCCTACCTTTGTGTATGGGGTACATTGTCCAAGACATTATAATTGCCTCATATTTAAAGACCCTAATTAATTCCAATTTGGACATCTCTGGCACCTCTTCCCATCCAGCTGGGGACGCATTGCCTATGCTGATCGCATTTGCCAGGGAGGGGGACATCACGCGATCTATGAGCCTCTTAGATCAAATGCCTCACGTGTCTTGCAACGCCCTCGTGAAATATTACATCCTGATCTCCAATTTTTGGCAAGTCAAGAAGATATTCGATTCCTTGCCAGACCGCGACGTGGTCTCTTGGAACTCACTCATCACACTATATGCCCAGTGGGGGCATCTGGATCATGCAAACAACACGCACGATGGTGTGGAGTCCCGTGATCTTGTGTCATGGAACTCGATGATCGCCGGCTACGTCGCGGTATCTGGGCTCTGCGACTGCCAGGGGACGCTTGATCGCGTCTCAGAGCGCCAGGCCGTGACATGGAACTCGATAATCATGGCGCACGCCCACCAGGGGCAAACGAGGCAGCGAAGTCGACTTTCGATCGAATGCCAGCCAAGGATCTTGTGTCGTGGAAAAATCTACTATTGTGCTACCACAGAGTGGACTTTTGGTAGAATCTGAAAGGCCTTCCATTGGCTCCCCTTACACCAGAGGGGATCTGGCCACCGCGAGAGATTCCATCCCGGATCATGCGAGCTCATGGCCACGAAGGCTTCGTCGCCCTCGGAAGAACACCTTCGATCAAGTCCCGGAGGAGAATCCAGTCTCGTGGAGCTTGATGCTCCTCGCACTTGGCGAGAATGGGCATTTCGACGAGGCCGTGAGTTTCTTCCACGAGAGACTATCGCCTGCTGGACGGCTCTCGCGCAAGTTTACGCTAGGGGCGTGTTTGAGAGGATGAAGATCCGGAGCTTGGGCACTACGATCAAGCAGTGGAGGTCTTCCAGATGAGGAACCGCGAGGAGCCCAACGAGGTGACGTTCTAACTTCGTGCAGCCGAGGGATGGGAACACTTCGTCTCGATCAGCCAGGACTTTGGAATGGTGCAGAGTACTGGATAGCATGGGTTGATCTGGAGAACTCTGAGCGCTCCCCACGTCGTGCTCTCCAACATGTACTCGTCGATCGGGGGGAGGGACGTGTCGATGATCCGGAACCTAGGAGAGTGAGAAAGTTCCAGGGATCAGCAACATGCGAAGTTCACAGTTGCAGCGAAGACATCGTCGCGGAGCTCCAGAGAATGCCTACGTTCCTGACACAAAGGAGATCTTTCACGACGTTGGCGAGGAGCAAAAGGAGGAGCTGCTGCATTACCACAGTGAGATTGATCAGGAGGAAAGGTCGCCACTGAGAATCCTCAAGAACTCGCGGGTGTGTGGGAATTGCCACTCGGCTATCAAGTTTGTGTCCAAGATGGTGAGACGGTCTATAACGGTGAGAGACACCAGCCGGTTCCATCACTGTAGCACCGGGGCATGCTCTTGTGGAGATTATTGGTGACTTTGCTCGTGAGATCTTTGCTCGAGAGAGGAGTTCCACGACGGAACTTTCCAGCAATGAGGTAGAGTCTCATTCGTGATCTTTGCTTCGCTGGTTGCTTCATCCTGGCCAATTTTTCCTTGCAGCGCAATGCGATCGAGAAAGCTCATAGACAAGAAGAAAAGAATTTTATAATCTGAGGGACAATCTCAAACAAAGTTTGATCGGACTTGGCTGATGGTACGCTCGTCCAAGAAGAAAGTCTTCTCGAGCACCTCGTCGGGGACCTCTGGCTGCGCTCCAAACATGGATCTGGCAATGAATTGGATTCCGGGAAGCTGAGAGTTGAGAGTGGCGATGACCTTGGCGTTTGTTCTTCCAACGTTCATCTGCCAGTGGATCAATCCGCGCGGAATCACCATGACTTCTCCCCTGCTCATCACACGAGCAAACAGGCGATTGTCCGCAGTGACAATGGCGGCGTAGACGCTCCCTTCTTCTACATAGACCATCTCCGAGGCTCGAGGATGGGTGTGTGGAGGGATGATTCCTTCGGGGAGGAAGTCGAGCCTGGCGATGGAGAGACCCAAGGTGTTGAGGCCTGGGAACCTCAGCACGGTTCCAAAGATTGCGCCGGAGCGATTGATGTTTGTGGTGTTGGAGGAGTTGACGATTCCGCTGTAGATGAAATCGTCCACGGTGACTGTGGAGGCGTTCCGGCATGGGAATCCATTAATCCCAGGGACGGCGCTGAGATCTCCGATGCAAAAGTCCTGGAGTGGATCCGGATCAGATGAAACTACCGCGCACACGAACAATGCGAGCAAAGCAATCGAAAGAGTGAGAGCTGTGGAGAGAGCCATAGTCAATCAAAAGGAAGAAGAACTATATAGATGATATCTTTTGATAGTTGGAAATGTGAATGAAGAACCATTGCCTTGACTGATATATATACTACAAAATGTGATGCTGCTAGGGTGTTGCGCGTACACATTCTTTGTAGGAGGAATTTGAACGCCGACATATTGGAAATCACATTTTTGGTCATGGTGAGCGAAGCATTGACCAAACGTTTTGTACACGAAGATAAATTTCAAATAAGATCTGGTCAGCGGTTAAATATCCTCCTTAAGACATAACGACAGAGAATCATCGCGTTATTCTTTTGTTCTTCCCCCCTCCAGGGGAGTGAGAGTGAATGAGCACCGGGCAACATGGATGGTATTGGCGGACGTTCCCATGGAAAAGGGAAGATTCCAGTTCCAGGATTCGAGCAGAGCGTAGCGGCCAAGATCCGGCGCCGCAGATGGTCGCAGGGGATCAAGCCGGGGAGGCTCATTGTGATGGGATCGATGGCAGGACCAAAATCTAGAAAAAGAGTTAGAGACAATGCGGGTGAAAAGAGAGAACTAATAATCGAGAGTAGAAAAGACCCACCGCTTTGAGCACCTGGGGATTCTTGCTTCTCAATCACTGGCTCGTCAGGAAGAATAGGAAGCTCTGTCTTGGTATGCCACTCCACTTTAGCTGGAATTTGCAAGTTCTTGGCAAGCAGCGCTAGGAACTCGAATGGAAGTTGGCGACCCGGATGTTTTTTTCGGCTGGGGGAGCAAGGAACTCGACGAGAGGAAGAACTACTTGGCTACGACGGATCTCTTCAATAGCTGCCTCGAGTGTCACGAGTGTCTCCAAGCTCATGGAGACGAGACGAAGATGGTGGTGGCTCACGTGAGGCGAGCCGAGGCAAGGATATATCAAGCTCGAGCGATACGAAGAAGCACTGGCCGACATCGAAAAGGTACTGGCACTGGATCCTCGTGACTTGAAGTGCCTTGCAGTGAAAGGAGAGACGCTGCTCGGGCTCAAGCGGTATGGATCATCCAGCTCGTGCTTCAGACAGGTGATCGAAGTGAAAGCCTCGCCGGGCTTATGGGCTAAGTTTTACTTTTATGCTCAAGCGGTACATTATCTCGTACGGATGACCATGTTTTGAATTTTGGCCAGTTTGGCTAAATACTCGTTCATCACAGAGCATGCTAATATGGTCGTGTTCTTGTGTCGTGGAACTCGATGATCGCCGGCTACGTCGCGGTATCTGGGCTCCGCAACTGCCAGGAGATGTTTGATCGCGTCTCAGAGCGCCAGGCCGTGAGATGATGACGGCACACGCCTACTAGGGGCAAATCGCGATCGAATGCCGGCCAAGGATCTCGTGTCGTGGACGAATCTACTGCTGTGCTACCCCAGAGTGGATTCTAGGTAGCTCCCTTACAATCTGGCCGCCGCAAGAGGTTGATCGGGACGTGATGGCGTAGACGGCGATGTTGCAAAGGCTTCGTCGCGAAGAACACCTTCGATCAAATCCGCGAGAGACCATCGCCTGCTGGACGGCAGGTGAACTTGGGCGATTTCGGCCGCGCCGCGTGTTTCAGAGCATGAAGAGTACTCGGAGCTTGGTTCCATTGACGACCATGGTGTGCTCAAACGGGCACTAAGATCATCCATATGATGAACCTCGAGGACGAGGTCACGTTCCGGAGCGCTAACTTCGTGCAGCCATGTCGGTCTTGTGGCCGAGGGGTGGGAGGAGAGAGCATCGATATCTTGGGTCGATCCGGGAGAATGAGCGCCGAGGAGCTCGGGAGTTTCGAGAGCGAGTGGAAGCTATCACTGGTCTCTGGTCGATCGCTGGCGTTGCTGTTTTCCTGTGATCTTCCACGCTGCTACCAGCGCATTTAAAAGGTCACCCTATTGGTATCGGGTCGGCTTTTTTATCTCCCTAAACCTCCTCAAATGAAGATCCGGAAGATGAAAATTGCCTCCTCCTCTCGAGAAAGCCTTACTGGTTTTAAAAAGTTTTGGAGGATCTTTGCCAGCAATGATGTTGAAAGAAACTTTGCAGGGAAGCCGAGATCGCGATATGGAGAGTGGAGAGATCAGACGTGTTTTCGCTCGTGTCGAAAGCGGTGTCGAGACGCAAAGGCTGCAGGTTCTTTTCTTATTTTCGTTGATTCATCTCTGAAACAATGGTGACTGTTTTTCTTGTGGATAATGAGGAGGAGCTACCGCAATCTATCAAACAGAAAGAAGCACTTGCAAAGGAAGTGGAAGAAGCCATTCTAGGCGTGAAGCAGCAGTCTCGCACGTTGCATCGTCTTGGGACTTGATGCAAATCCGGGCATCCAGCGAAGGTTTTTCTTTCTTACATTCCTTTCGTTTTCTGGATCATGGTAGCACCTTCTCGGAGCTGGAACACACACTGCAAGGCATCGAGGAGTTATAAAAGCTCCTGCAAGCTCAAGGCAATCGCTATCAGGGTCTAGGCTTTAAAACTGTATTTTTTATTTATTTATTTATTTTTTGTTTTATTGGTTTTCTGAGATTTAGGGTTTAGTCAGACCATCTTCCGCGGGAGCATTTCTTGCGATTTCGACAATGCTAACGCCCCTTTCAGACGAGCGCGCGGTGGATTGTCTCGCGACGCTACATCTCTCTTGTCCAAGCCGTCGTGCGCGTCACTCCACACATCCAGGTCGGCTCATTCTTGCCTCCGAGAGGAACGCGAGTGTGTGTCCCGCCTCCACGCAGCTCAAGCTCCTGCGCTTTCTTGTGAGTTTCGTCCCGGCGGTAGTGTCCACAAGGGAAGTGGTGGTGCCTCATCGGGAAAACTTGCTGGTTGCGCATGCCCCACCTTCTTCTCCAGGATCGCTGCGGTCCACTCCTCCCTCCTCTTGGCCTTGCTACTTCGCTCGCTGATCCAGGTAGCGGATTTTCTTTTCTTTCCATCTGGGATTTAAAAGACTCAATGCAGGGTGAATGGCTTGTACGAAAACTACGTCTCCGAGCTTGAGACGTTGTCGTCGGAATTTCGGTGCCTCTGAAAATCCTCGCTACAACTACAAGGGATCCAGCTCGACTTTCGGCCAAGAAGGTGGGAAGTTTATAGTGGAGCTCTTGGTAACGAAATGCGTTCTCGTTTCAGGCGTTTTTTGTCGACCTTTACGTGAAAAGTTGGATCGCGAGAGAAGCCTTCCCAGGCGATCAGCGAAGCGTTTGAGCCTCTTTCCAAACTCGGTCCCGGCTGCTGTAAGGATGCTCAAGAGAAGCCCCGACCTCTTTTTGGAGTTCTTTTGAAGCGGACCTGACCAGATATACGGGCGAGGTCCTACCCGTTGTTTTGCTTCAATCTCGACATAGCGACGAAGGGGAAGCGCTGCAAATTCTCAGCAACGGCACAGAGTCCCTTTTAACAGGAGGTTAGATGTTTAAAAGCATTTCTAGCTCGCAACTTAACGTGGTCTTGTGCCAGGATCTGAGGGTAAACTGACGTTCGTCTACCACTGGGATTGATCCATGCTTTACGCGCCATTTGTGACGCTTGTTGCAGGTGTTATCAGCTCATTGCTTATTCACTGTACAAAGACGACGGTGAGTTTTGGTGCTGGCTTCGATATTTTTGCTTCTTACACAGTATGCGACAGACAGGAAACGAGGAAGTCCGAGTGGCAATTCTATTATCTCTGGGTTCGTCACTTAGAAAAGCCGAGCGTAACTTGCCAGCTGAGTGCTCAAGTTTCTTTTTGGCTGGGCTTGAATATGAGGTGAGCACACTTACGATGTCTTCGCCAGGCATTTTTCGATGAAGAACTTTCACTTCCTGTGGGTTTAGTGCTTTATAAGTCGTGCGTTCTGTTCTGAAACGATTTTTGTTTCTTTTTGCAGGCGATCCCGCTAGTTGATCAATTGGTCCAACTATCGAAAAGTGGTATAACAAAGGATTTATGCTCTTCTTTTGCTACTCAAGATTGCATCCATCGATAGCAGAGCTGGTGAGAATTCAAACAACATTTTGCGTTTATATTCATTTTTCTTTGTACTGTTATAGATGCAAGATGATCAAGGAAATGATTATTTCGTCAGTAACGATTTCGGAGTCTACGTTTTCCCCGACAGTTGTATATGTTTTTCATTCCTTCAGTTTGGTCTGATCTAACAACGGATGAACAGAACCTGAAATGCAAATGGAAGACTGGTGCGTCGATAGAACTGCTTGAAGATCTATCGAATTACCAGCCAAATCTAAACGTTTGCATAAAAATTTCCTTGGCTGCAGAGGAGCCAACGAGGGGCTAACAGAACTTTCCAAAGTGATGGAATAAATCATTTGCTAACAATGACGAATGATTTTCTTGCTGCAGAGCCTTTTAAGCTTTCTTTTGGAACCAGTCATGGCATGTAAGGAGAGCTGCAGTAGCGTATGCGGAGGAGCTTTTCAAGTCCTTTCTGAATTGGCTTCCCACTTTACATGATCTTCAATTCGCAAATGAGGTAAAATTTACTGCTATACTCTTCAAGCTTCCATTTTCTAATACAGATGTGCAGTGGAAGCGAGAGTAACAGTTCGCCTTCAGAGGTTCCACCATCAGATGCTTTCTAAAGCAGGATGTGCATCACTAGTGCCGGATCCCTTGTATTCTACGCATTTTCTAATAGTTTTTCACCATGACTGGATCTTGTGTGGTAAAAAAAGTACTTCGTATTGGAAGGTAAGAAACCTTTCTTTCTGTGGCATATGACTCCTTTGCCAGGACTTTGCAAGACGCTTAAGTATTTTATTCGTGCCGTCCTAAGATCTGATCCCGGCGCTGTCTGGAAGGTTATTATTTGACTTCTACTGATTAGCCACACATACACTTGCTCAGGTTCTAGCCGGTGCGAACGGATTGACCAGTGAACAGCCGGCTATCTCAAAAGCAGCGATCTTTGCTTCTGGTTTAGTCACGCATTTTATTCCTGATGAAATGCTCAATCATTTGATTCATGTAGGTGCTGTCTTCTTTTCATATGAATTACATACTTATTTCCTTGCAGGGCGTATTAAGTGATCTAGCTGATTGGAGCTCTCACAATGGTCTCAATGACAAGGTGGATTATACGCACGAAGTAGCTTAAGACTGAGCCTTTCTTGGCAGATATTCAACACTCCTTCTGGTGGTGTGTAGCAGGCAAAATGACGATTTAAAATGGCAGTGACTCCGGAAGTGAAGGGGTTAGCAGATTGTTTTGTCATTCTGGTGGCTAATGAAACTTGCTGTAGGACACAATGTCGAAGTCTGTTTCACGGCGTCTGCGCCTAGAGACGCGAGTAAAGCTTCTAGAAAGACTGCTGCTTTTAATGTTTTCTCAATATTTGCTCATTTTATAATTTCTTGTTTTTCAGGTGAATCAAAACCAATGAAAGAAGAAGCAAGAGATTTGGTTTTGAAAGAAGAGGCTATTGTCCATGCCACTTAAAGACGCGGTTCACTGTGGTTTTAAGAGCAATTGCAGCTATTGCGGATCCTGCTTTGGTAAGTTATGTTCATTACTGTGTAGTTTTCACTCATATTTGAGGAATGACCAGATCCCGCTTGTCCTCCCACTTCTGAAGTCGCCAATTGTGAGTGATGAAGCGTTCCGGACGATGGTCATATTAACGGGATTGGTGACTGCAGTTCCCAGACACCTAACGAAAATCTTGGTGTCGTTGTTTTCTCTACAAGTTTATTTGGATAACGAGAAAGGCGTTATTCACACGGTGATCACCACGGGGATTGTAAGCTTGGACTGTAGTTTTTCCGGTATCGGTATGAGTTCTCTGAGTTTGTTTCTAATCCAAACTGTATTCTTGACAGATTGTTGAGCAAGTCCTGTTCCTGACGGCCTACTTCGTGTCTTGCCATGGACGAGTATCCAAGCAGCATTCAAGTAAGGTTTTCTGTATTTATTTATTCTCGTGCTTACGTTGCTCTCAGGAAACACTATCGGCTTTGTTTACCCTCTATTCGAGTGGAGGCAATCATGTTGATCCTGGTTGGTCTGGAAGACAAGTGTATCGTTAGCCCTCGAAGCAGCTGCAGACATACTTACTGCCAAAGGCTTACCAGTTTTATCAACTTTTCTTTTTCTCGAGCCTTGGTACGTCGCTCTGCTGAATAAACAAGTTAAATGTATCCGTTTATTTCCTACAGGCTTATTCAAACTCTGACGTCCGGTCTAAAATGGTGGAAGCCGGCGTAGCAGTTCTCGATAAACATGGAAAACGGTTCTCCTTCTTATATTGAAAACTATTGAAGTAGAAAGGTACGTGCTTCAAATCTGCTGAATGTTTTGTTTGTATTTACTCTGACTTTCTCTCTCAGGTGAATTTGTTTTCGGTAGCTACCAACTAACTAGGATGATCCGAAAGTAGTTGTCATTCTGGAAAGATGGCTCGAAGCGCTGAAAACTCCTTCAGAATCAGTTCAACGTGCTGTCTCAAACTTCCTAGCTTCTTTTATTGCTAGTCCACCAGGTATTTCATTTGAATTTGGATAATCTAGTAACTTGGTTATCAGGTGGATTCTGAGAAACTTGCAAAAAGTTTGCTTGAACAACTTGTGCAATCGGAGAAATATGGAGAGCGCTGTGGAGCAGCCTTTGGATTGGCCGGGGTAGTGAAGGGGAAGGGATTGTCTTGCTTGAAGAAGTTCCGTGTAATCCGAGAAACTTGGGGAGCCGTAAGAATTTATTCTACTAGAAATTGCTTTTGTTAAACATTTTTTGTTGCAGGTGCGTAATACGAATCCTGCCAGAGATGCTTGTGTGTTTCTCCGTTTCCGTTTCAGCAGTATACGAGGCGGCTGATCGGACAATTATGTCGCAACTTACCGGCCAAGGTGTTAAACTTGTCTTACCGGCTCTATTCAAGGTGAAAGTATCACACAACTGAAGTTACGTTCTTTTAGCTCAACGGTGTATTATTATTAATTTAGGGGCTAGAAGACCGAGCATGGCGTACTAAACATGGAAGTGTTCAACTGCTTGGGACTATGACTTTTTGTGCTCCTCGGCAGCTCTCGCAATGCTTTAGTGAGGTAAAATATTTATTTTGAAATATATATGATACTCAACTTGTCCACAAGTGTATCCATTCTAGTTTATTTTCTTTGATGGATTGGACAAGTGTTTGAGTTGATCTAGCATATCTAACAGTTTTAAATACTTGTTTCTTTTTCTAAGGTGATTTGCTTGGCACAAGGTGGGAAGGGTCGTATTGTTTCCTTGGTGTTTGCTGGAAATTTCAGGCAAACTAAACAATTTAGTCAATTTAAAATTTACAAATAAATTGGCAGATTGGTCTAGGTTCAAATCCCACTCTCAACATTTATTAGTACTAGGGTTGAGGGTTTTATTTAGGGCAGAATGGAAGCCTGAAGTTTTCTCTTTTCACCCGCATTGTCTCTGAGGATAGTATGGAAAACAATCAGGTATTTTATATGCATGTCTTCATCCTTTGTGGTTTCACTTACAAAAAGGTTTTCATGGCAGAAGGCAACCACATCAGCTCAAGTGGCATCCGAGTTTGTAAGGAACGATGAGACTGCTCAAACATGTCTTCGTATTGTTCGGTGGCTCAAGAGCTTGGTAGCCAAGGAAAAAGAAGGTAAAACTTTTCCATGGACAACATGCATGGCTACAAATGTTATTGTTACAGAGGACTGTGGGACTACATTCTAAAGCTACAAAACGTGCAGTCATAAAAAAAAAAAAGAAGTCGAAATCTACTTTTGGATCCCGAGAGTTAAGAGTTTTTCTTAACAAGGTTTTGTTTCAGAAAATGGCTAGAGCTTTCTCGCCAACATCCTTCAAGTGTGATCGATTCATCTTCCACTTGGCCACAACAGGCTCGTGGTGTTATCCACTTGTTTCAAGAGCTGTACTCTGGGTATGCATCTCGTTTTTTATCATGAACTCGTTTTATCATGGATTGGTGCTAACCTTTTACTTGTCTCGTATTTGTGACACTGTGAGACGCAGCTCTAAGGAACAGCATCGACTTAAATACAGATAAGTTTCCTGTTTCTAACAGTTCGTTATTGTTTTCCGTTGAAACAGACAGATGCACCGTGCACGTCGTGGTGTCTGACACAGCAGCCTTAATGGAAATGCTGGAAACGTGGACTGGATTCTTCCCAGCCGAGAGAGACGACAGTTCTGACATCAAGTATGTACTCCTTGATCATGCTGCTGCCTTAAGCTGTGTTTCTGTCAGGCCACACGGGCATCCTCATATTCCATTTCGACGCACATTTGGTCCTCATTTTGCGGTCGATTCTTCCGGAAGGACTTTAAGGGGCGAGGCCTGAAATTGTCGGAGATTTAAATCCTGATGAACACGGATTATGGATTGTCACTTCCATCTTATAGGTACATTACTTTTATATTCAGACAACATGAGGATGAGCTCATTGGTCCTTGTGCTTCTCATCTAACCCACACTTGTAGCTACAGTGACAGGTACTGTATTTGTTTGTCTATATCGATCTGGTCGGCGCTCTATACGTTAAAATTCTCTTCCCAGGAGAAGTCACGTGAAATCAAAACGTCTCAATCTGTGCGATTCTGAGCTGAGCTAGCTTGCTCTTTTGCTTTGCACAGCACAAAGTATATTGCTGGTAATTGAATAGTGATGCTGCTGTTAATTTTCTTGTCATTTGTTTGCACTCACATGTTATTGCATAGAGATCTTGCGAGCATCACTATGGTGTAGTGTAGAGGTCCTAGAAGGCGTGCAAGCACTTTTTGGACGGTATGTTGCTGCTTGTTTCTGCTTTTTCTTTTCTGGTGCTTGGTTCTTTTAGCAAGAATGTTTTTTTCAAGGTTTTATTCAAAGCTATTTTTTGGCATTTTGAATAATTATGACTGTTTAATTAAGCATAACCCTTGAATCTTTAACCCCACTAGAGAAAAGATTTGACGGCAATTTGATGCATATTCAGGTTGTTAGGGCTATTATTGATGTACATGGATCAAAGGTTTCCATTCAAGCAACTTATGGGCTTTTTGAATTCCTTCAGCTTGGGTGAGAAGCAACACAAAAGGTTTAGCCTTAAGGCTAATAACACCATTTCTCTCCCATCCTCTCACTCTCTCTTTTTTGTTTCGATGTCAGGGTGGCAAGGGTGATATACTATAGCAGCACAGTGTGGCCGCGGCTGCGGCCGTGGGAGGGCAAACAAGGTAGGAGCCTCCATCAATCCATATGCAAGAGCAGACTCGGGAGAAGCCGTGATCGGAGAGGGGCCTGGTTTGGGTGTAGCCTTAGGAGATGCCGTGATCGGAGAGGGGCCAACTTCAGCTGCAGGAGATCAAGTTGCCGTGTTCAACGGGGTAAACCCTTGACTAGGTGTTGAGGATAGTGCTGCTGTGAGAATAGTGTGAGGCTGCAGGGAGACCAAAGAGGGATCTAGGGGCAGGAGACCAACCCTCATCATCCTCCGAGTCCTAGACGCAGATCTGGTAGGCCTCTGGATATGGTCTGGAAATACATCTTCTATGACTCTTTAGCACTCAGGGAGAGGAACTTAGAAAACACTGAGGTAGATCCTTGATGTTTCAACACTGACAAAGCTAGTTGGGAGGCAGTGGCTAGGTGTGTCTTATGCAAAGGTCCCGTGAAGGGAATTGGACCTATGGGGATCAGGAGGCATCTTTGTAGCTTCTACAAGGAGAAGGAGGACATAGGTTGACATAAGTTTGCATTGTAGGCCAATACAAGAGTTTAGTGAGGAGTTTGTGTCTATAAGAAGGAACAATATTGAGACGTACAACATCAAGCTTGTGGAGTTCGAACAACATGGCAGTGGTAGAATGACACGATTTAGCAATCAAAGAGCTTTAGGGTCACAGCAATTGGATGAAGATGCCTACAGTGTTGGAGGATCGACATCAACTCCTCAAGTTAGTGGGAGTATTGAATGCAGGCCAAAATTGAACATGTTTGCCTTTCCGAGCGATAACGACAACAAAGCATGGGAATGGATAGAATGTTTGGAGGGTGAAGACTGGGTTGATGCAGAGCAGTTGTGGCAGCAGGTTCGAGAGACTGAGTTAGCTACAATTGGCTGCATCTCTGTGGGTGGTTTATGTGCAACTAGGAATCAGATTGATATAATAGTGTCTACTACATGGCCTCAGACAAGTTCAACAAATCATATCTTGTAGGAAACAATAGCTCTCAAAGGAATCATAGGAAGGGTGTTAACCCCTGAAGAACTTAGGGCATGGTAGAAGGAGTATGCATTGGGAGTTTATATCAAGGCTAGAGCATTCAACCTAGTAGTTGGTAGACATGCCCAATGCGGTTCCATGTTTCCTTTGCCTTTGCTGAAGGCGTTGCGTGAAGACTTCTTGGATGAGATATACCATGAAACGGTTGAGCACATTGATCAACAACTTGAGAAAGCTACAAGTGCGTACAGCCCATGACTACCTTGCTTGGTAACGGACAATTGGAAGACAGTTAGTGGGTTGCATATTCAAAATATTATGATCATTGATGCAGCACACCATGAAGAGTTTTTTTGTGGCTCATTTGAGTGCTATGAATCTTTAGGTATGTGTTGCTTTTTCATGTAATGTCCAATTAACTTGTTTGCTTTGCAATGCAGCTGATATCTTATATAGCAAATTGAAGATTGTGGTTTTGGCTATAAACACTCGGGTACTTGCTGATGATGCAAATGTAGCCAAAAACAACATCCCTGGCAATGGAAACATATTACATGATCAAATGCGGCATATAGAGAGGAAGTGTGGATTATCAGCAATAGTAACAGACAATGCGGCCAACATGCGGCTTGTTGGACGCAAATTTGAAATTGAGTTTGAAGATATGTGGAGTGTTCTATGCTAGTGTCATGCTCTGAACCTTGTACTAATGTCTTGGGGCAGGTTTGGACAACATCAAACAATATCTAGACATAGGGAAGTGTATAGTTCAATTTGTGAAGAACTCCACTAGTGTGTATGCTTTTTATCAAGTTTAGCATCCTAAGTGGCAACTTGTCAGACTTGTCATTACTCGGTAAGTATTAGAGTTGTGTAACTGTCTGTTACTGACTTTAACACTTTTTTTGTTTCTTTCACAGGTTTGGAACCTATTATTACATGCTCAGATGATTATGGGAAGAGTGTGGAGCATTGCAGAGGTTGTTTAGGAATACTGGATTTAAAGATTGGCTACGAAGCCAACCTGAAACAACAACAAAGACTGCTAACCAAGCCATGACAGTAGTGGAGGATTTTAATTTCTGGGCGGGTGTTGAGAAGGTGATGCAGTTGATAGAGCTGGTGGTGATGGCAATCAAGTTCTTTGATCGCTCAGTTTCAACCATTGGCTTTGTGTGGCAAGCATGGCATTTTTTTAAGTTCAAGATAGCAACAGTTACAGGTTTCAATGTAGAGGACAAACAACAGCTTGAAGACTTTCTGCAGAAACAGGAGGATCAATACATGAGATCTTGTGACTTGTTTGGGGCAGCTTGGTGTATAAATCTGCATTAGAGGGAGGATAGAAATAAACAGGAAGCGATAGTAACATTCAATCGTGTTTGACATCATTTCTATCCAAATGTTGAAGATGCCCACAAGTTAAATCAAGAGTACTTTGCGTACGTCAATGGAACTGGCCCCTTTTCCATTGCAGACAGCCGTGATGCACAAGAATTTCTTGAGAAAGGCAAGGATGGAGATTCATCTTGGCATGTTTGGGCCTCTGTGTTCAGCTTTAGCTGTGACTTGGGGGCAATTCTTTGGAGGTTTGTGCGCTATATTCTTGGTTTGACAACTTTGAATTCTGCAGCTGAGCGGAATTTTAGTATATACAACAACGTCTTGACACTAAAGTAGAACAAGTTTAAGCCCTTTGTTCATTTATAAACATGAAGAACTTTTTTGACATTGGTGTCACTTGCCTATGTGTAGACTGCATCCAGAGCGGGCTGAGAAGCCCGTTCATATTTACCAAAACCATCAAATTTGGGATAGGAAGGAATTTGAAACTTCTTGTAGCTCTACAAAGTGGAT